ACTCCAATTGAGGTTCCAAATATTCTTAAACAAATATTCTTAAGGAAAACCACGGGACTACTATAGCTGGTCACCCGGGTATTAAACGCATGTATAATAGAATAAAAGCATCTTATTATTGGAAAAGACGGAAGATTTTTGACGGTGGTAGAGCCACGCAGCAGCCTCGGCTGTTGCACGAATGGGCAGGGTCGTCTGGGTAAGTACCACGACCTCACAGAAGACCAGCGTAAAGTGGAAGTATGACAAATACTTTCGCGTTTCGTCTGGTGAGTGGGTAGCCGGAGCCCAATTTCCAAAAAGGTTGTCAACGCATCTGCAAACCCTCGGGTATAGCAGATGTCTATGGGCGGCGGTATTCACTTAACATCAGGTGAACCGTCTGCTCGTTTGGCAACTTTTCACATAAAAAAAAAGATATAGAACGTTTTGTTAAAGATTGTAAATTATGCCAAATAAATAAGCCATTACGAAGTTGCAATAAAGCACCTATGGTTATTACGTCTTCTAGTACCAAGCCGTTTGAACGGTTAGCTTTAGACATTGTTGGTACTTTACCCGAAGCGGGTTTACAAAAATTTTAATATATTTTAACCTTACAAGATGATCTCACTAAATTTTCTTGTGCCTATCCAATGATCACTTGTACTACAGATGAAGTTGCACGTAACTTAATTCATTTTTTCTCTTTATTTGGATTCCCTAAGATGATACCGATCAAGGTACTTGTTTTACATCGGAGTTATTTAAGCAATTAACTGAAATTCTTAAAATAAAAAAAACTTATTTTCGACTCCGTATCATCCTCAAACAAATGGTGCGCTAGAGCGTAGCCATGCTACACTTAAAGAATATTTAAAATCATTTGTTAATGACAATCACGATGACTGGCATTGTTCTTTGGCAACTGCAATTTTATCATATAATACGACACCACATTGCACTACGGAATTTACTCCATTTGAATTATTATATGGCCATAAGCCGTCTATACCTAGTAGCATTTATGAATCAAATGATAATACAACTTATCAAGAATATATTCGTGCTTTACAATATAGAATGAAGTACTCTCGCGAAAAGGCATTACAAAATATAAATAAAGGTAAAGAGTATTCAAAAAAGTATTATGACATTTCTTCTAAAGAGAAAATATATAAAACAGGAGATATAGTATATTTAAAACAACATCATAGATTACGAAAAGCATTGTCCCCCATATGGAAAGGACCATTTAAAATAATAAAAGTACACGGAAAAAATAATGTTACTCTCTGTATAAACAGAAAACACGTTAAATATCATATAAATGAAATTAAATCTGTTTAAATTGTTTTAGGTCATGCTTTCAATCAACCATAAATAATTTTAATATTTCTTTAAATAAGTTAAATGATAATGAACTAAGATTAAATAAACAAATGGAAAAACTTAATTATGTATTTGAAGAAAATTATAAAACTAATATTAAGTTAGTTAATGTTGAAAAAATTATTTCAGTATTATTTAATTATTATCGAAAGTTCACTGTTGTCAATATCTAATATTTTAGTAACGATTTTGAATTCTATTTTATTTGCAAAAGCAAATATTTTACACCCTTATGTTTTAACTCCTACAAAGTTATATAATGAACTTTATAATAGCAAAATTATAAGGAGTAACGCAGAGTTTCCCATTTCTTTATCTTTAAAAAATATTCATAATATTATTGATCTATCTAATCTTAGTTCTTATTTTTAAAATGATAAATTAGTTTTTGTTATTCAAATACCTTTAATTAGTCCTATTAAATTTAACATTTATAAAAATTTACCTTTACCTACACCACGTAAAATAAATAAAATTTTAACATATATTCTTGTACACCCTTCAAAGTTATATGTGGCTGTAACGGAAGATAGACTAAGTTACTCTTTATTAGACAATATCAATGATTGTAAAAATGTTAACAACGAATATGTTTATATGTCCATTATCCTTTATATTATCGACAGTTAATAATCCCTCTTGTGAGACTAAACTTTTAACAGAAATAACTTTGACCTTACCTGAAATGTGTGAATCTAAAATAATTTATGGCAACATTAATGTATGGCAAAAACTTAATGATGGAAGATATATCTATGTACAATCTAATCCTAGAAAACTAACCTTAAGTTGTTACAATGTAATAAAAGATAATACTTTACAAGGTTCAGGATATTTATCTTTGAAAAACGATTGTATTGCTTATTTTGAAACTTTACAATTTTATCCACCTCAAGAATATAATAATGTTATGCCAAGCCAACTTGAAATTAACTATTATATAGTAGAAGATGATTGTTGCAAATATAATTTAATAAATGGAACTTTACATGAATTTGCTCCTATTACCTTAACAAACATTGACTTAGAGTCTTTAAATTTAGCCTCACATAAATGAAATCATTTGGAAAACCAAATTAATGAAGCTGAAAAACAATCTCATATTGTTAAATATGGACATTATTATTCTATACTTACTACCATAATTGTTTGTGTTATTTTCATTTACATTCTATATAAAATTTATAAAAAATGTTTTCCTAAATGTTGTAACAATACATCTTGTTGTATTCAAATATTTAACCAATGTTATAATAATAAACAACCGAAAATAAATAATTCTATAGTAAAATCATCAATGGAATTTACTGATATCTCTGATGATATTGAATACGACAAGAAATCAACAAAGAGTCTACCAGAAGTAGAAATTAATAAAAATAAAAATAAAGTTATTTTTAGACACTTTGAGAGTAATCGAAACTTGAGTAATTATTAAGTAAAGATAAATAAATAAATTCATTAATTTCTATTTTTCTATGAAATCATTATTTTACTGTTATTCAGAAACTTTGTATTGCTTATGTTAATTTTATTATTATTAAGAAAAAATATATTTTGTAAACTTTTTATAATCAATAATTGTATTAATTTTATGTGAAATATTGTTAATGTTTAATTTTGAAAATTTATAATTTTTATATTAATGGACCTACGATTTTCTTAAAAAAGATAATCTCCGTCTAAAAGGGGGGAGATGTTATGCACAATTTACAGTATTGAGTATTTGCGTAGGTCAGCAATTTAGATTTATATAAAAACAGTTTCGATGCCCAAGTACGGCAGTCAACATCAAGCAGTCAACCTCTATACTCGGTCCGATAACAATCATTTTTATAACGTAGTTGTGTGTCAGAATTAAAGTTCCTTACAGCCAATAAAAGGTGTTTTTTTTAAAAAGGACCCACAGAGCGCCATCCTTACAGAACGAATGAGTGAAGGATTTAAAGGAAGTATGATATGTCAATGTAATTGACATCTTAATGCGGGAATATTCAAATTAGTAGGATATGGCGGCAACATTTCCCCCGCCCTTAAAGGGTCACCTTTAAAAGGAATAATATAATAAAAGTTTATGCGTATGTAAATAAATGTAGAATAAATAAATATAGTAACAGGAGTTTAATAAGCGGTTAAGTAAAGTAATATTATTGTGTAGGCAAAGGACACAATCGACACATCAACTACAGGTCGAATGAGTGTACCTCTTGCAGTTTTTACCGTAGCGACGCGAATTATATTGTCCTTAGACGGGTGAACCTTCTCCTTCTCGATGACTCCTAATGGCCAAGAAAGGGTCGGCGACTACTGTGCCAACCTTAATTGGGACAGAGGATTTATTCCATTTCTGTCGCGACTGCAGTTGATGCAAATATTCAATTCTCCAACGACGCCAGAAAGACTGGACCAACTTGTCCAAGAGCGCGTGTCGATGGAGCAAAGTCATCGGTGTAGATTCTACATCGGGGGCAGGTAAGGAACGTAATGGTGTTGCATTCAAAAAATGTGCGGGAGTAAGAGCTGTTGGTACGGAAGGGTCCGAGCTCAATACAGTAAGAGGACGCGAATTTAGTAAGCACTCTATTTGTGCGAGGATCGTGATCAGCTCCTCATACGCAAGGATCTGCTGTCGTAACCTCGTGCCGATAACCTTAAAAAGATGTGTTTTTTTACGCACTTTACCATACTTTCCCAACAACCACCAAAATGCGCGGTGGCAGGCGCTATGAACTTGAGTTCAATGCGACCTTATTTACCGCGACATTTGGGTGTTTGCGAAAATACGTCATCACGAAAAGGTAACGAAACAATATATCTGCCTGTATCATTATCGCGTTCAGTGGTTTCACGAAAAAAAAATTTCGCACTCTATATCATCTTGTGAATGGGTGAGCTCAGCTCCTAAAGGAGATTCGTCAATCTGACAGAATTTTTATATAAGTATGTCAAGCGGGTCTTGATCTGCGGGTTCGGCCGTAGTGTTACAATACGACACTGTTACGTTTTCGCGAGCGGGAAGAGAGGGCACAGTGCCCATAATCACATAACCAAGCGTGGTTTGTATAGCGGGCGGAATAGCGGAATTATCTTGTATTATACCGGGTAGTAAAAGTCGCGAGAACAAGGATGCGCCGATCTGCGGGTGGGTTCGGCCCGGTTAGTGTATACAAACGGACCTGTACGTTTTCGGCAGAACATCTATCTGTGATGGGTTAAAGAACTTATCACCGGCTAGCGGCAAACCTTGTAAGAATGGCAAAGCGGAAATGTCAACAGGCGTAGAAGGTAAGTTATCTGTTATTCGGTCGACTACGAGTGAAGAAATTTTATATTTTAAGTGATCATTAAAACGCGAGGCAAACTGGAACTCAACAATCCCTTTAGCGTATTTTTCGGAACCGCCAATACCCTTTACCTTAACATTATAATTATTCACCGACAAACTTAATCGATTACAACATTCGAGCGTTATAAAATTACTCTGCGAAGCGCTATCCAATAAACAGCGCACACTATGTTTTATGCCATGCATATCTTGTACAAAAACAGTTGCAGTGGCTAACAAAACTGTAGTATTTAAATTGCGCGCGAACAAATCTTCGGATAAATAAGAGCGTGTACTACGTCCAATGCTGCGCCGCTATCAACATAGCGGCGCAGCATTGGACGTAGTACACAACGACACACTGTCATTACGCACAACGGGCGACGGCTGTGGCGACGTAGGAGTGAGGCATGACGTAGCCGGCGCGCGCTCCGTTCCCGATGACCGCGGCGCGGCGGTGTTTACAACGTGAGCGGCAGTAGGTTTGACATTGTCAAAGTGCAATAAGCTATGATGCTTACCCTGGCAAGTTTAACATCTAGAACTAGAATTACAAGTCCCTGCCTTATGTTTAACACTCAAACAATTAACACAAGCGTTACGTTCTTTTGTGCATTTAAAACGATCATTCGTTGTCATTTTACAAAATGTAGGACACTTGTATAAATGATCGTGCACTATATCTTTACACAAACATTTATATGTATCGATCACGGAAACGTAAGATTGAAGTTGCGGAAATTTTGCGGTAGGTCGATTTTTCGGGTTCGACTTCGCGGTCGAACTCGAATTCGACAGATGAGAACATTGTAATATATTAGTTTGTTCCTTTACGTAGTCGGTTAAATTACTAAATTGCGGAATTTTTTCTTTGCGAGAATGCATTTCGAAACAACGAACCGTTTCATGATCTAACTTTTTTAACGCGGTATGCAATATAATAAAATCAGTTAAATCGGGAAGATGTAAATTTTTTAATGCGTTTACGGCGGTTACAAAAGTATCTAGAAACATTTCTAAATTTCGAGCGGAAGCGGTAGAAATTGGCTTAAAGTCGAAAATCTGATTAATATATATAAGTCGACGCAAGCATACGTTTATCATCGTACTTATCTATGAGCGCATTTAAGATAAATCTATAGTTCTCGGCGCTAGGAGTTATACCGGCGAACACAGACTGCGTTTTTACGGATAATTTACCCAACAAGTAATATAGTTTATCAGCGTCGGACAGGGATGAATTATCAAGCACATTGGATTTAAAGCTTGCGTAGAATAAAGGCCACGAGCGTATATCTCCATCGAATGACATGAGTTCTATAGGCGGTAGTGATGATCGCGACTTTAGCGATGCTTTCGGGTGATTGTCGTTAGTACTTTGACTAGTAAGACGAGACATTACACGCTTAATATGACAATACAATTCTTCGAATGCAACCCATGACTGATATTCCACCTGAGCCCCTGGGTAAACTTGCATATTATACAAATTGTAATCGGTCAATACCTTTTCGAAATCACTGCGTAATGCGTCAATAGAAGTCGCGCCAGAAAGGAACTCCTCTATGTCCTCCTCATTCTCCACTTGTTGAGAACGATCGTAAATTGTTTGTAAGCGGCTAAATAAAGAATCGCGTCTGGCCGAAGCTATATTCAGTAACATTTTTAATTTAGAATCTGGCGTTTGTGATTTATTTTTTGATGTTGACATTTTTAATAAATAACGTATAGAATATTGAATATATTTCTATAGAAGTTTAATATCCAAAAACAAATTATGAATCGAAATTTGCGTTAAAGCGATGCGAGCATTTGTAAATTGCAACAATGGAGGTAGATCAATAAAACTATCTAGTTGCGCTTGCGTTCGAACGAACCTAAGTAATTGTATTGTATTGCGGTATATTATACTAATGATATTGTAATTATATAATGGTAATATGTATACGAGCGGGTTTAAATAATATATATAATGCGGGATGCGGGATAGTATATAAAATATTGTATTATAATATTTTATTTATAATATTTCGTTATAGGCGTAAGAATGCGTGAATATATAATAAATAATAATGAATGTATGAATGCGTGAAGGAATATATAGAATGATGCGAGAAATCACGTTGTGAAATATGCTTTGGGATATGCGGATGGTTCAAGGAAATATTGCAATCCGGGCGAAGTGGCAAAAAAAAAAATGGTGCGGAATTAGGTTTATTTCGATAAAAGTGGACTGTATATGCGGGATTAATAAGGATTTAATTTGCAACCGGCAAACGAATCATGGAGCACGCACTGACCTGGAGGCTTCCAGCGACGAATCTTCTAAAGGAAGTATGATATGTCAATGTAATTGACATCTTAATGCGGGAATATTCAAATTAGTAGGATATGACGGCAACAAGTACATAAATGTCAACAATTATATTATGACCAATAGATAATTGTGTCGGATTTGCGTGTTTGTTCACGTCATATTTATTTTTGTAAAACATAAGTTACACTAACTTAGATAACTATATTCGTGCGATGAAGTTGGATATCATCAAGCTTTTCCCCGTTAAGCAATAGTTGAAATACAAAACAGGTTTAACTTGTGTGAATAAATTAAAACCACAAAATGCACCATCATTTAATTTGTGAAATACAGAAATCCATTGCTTCGCAAATACCTCTACAGGAAGAAGAACAATTATGTTCCAGCATTAATTCAATTTCATTTAAAACCCTGTTCAAGAGTTGACGAGAAACGACGGCATGTAAAACTGAACAATTCGTAGCGGTTTCACTTCGTTTGCTTTTGTAAATTGAATTTTCAAGTTTTCTTTTAAATAACAAACGAATGGAGTAGTCAGATCCCTTGCTAAATTGGATATTCTTATAACAGCTGTAGGAATATGTACATGTCACCTACTAAAGCTCAAGTGAACTGGGGGTGATCTTAATGTATTTAATGTCGTAGGGAATCGCAATTTCGCGTTACGTCTGGTGAGTAAGGTAAACGGGGTCCTTTTTTAATGATTTATTTTCGCAGTTTAAAATTATTGTATTACGCCCGTCTTTTATTCCGATCCCACTCCATATAAGCAAATGAGCTTTACGCCAAGCTATGAGTTATATTAAAGTTGTCTTTTACAGATATTTATAATTGTTAAAGATAATTTTACCTTCACTGGTGGCTTTCCGTATTTATTGAGTTCCGAGTGTAATTATGGGTTTTTTTGTGCATACCCTATCTGAGATCTCTTTGCACACCGAAATACAGAATGATAAACTCCTGATTTGATTAATAGTAATAAAATTATAGTGCGGGTAAGAAATTAGATGAACTAACTATTATACCTGATCTCGGTATTATAATGGATAGCGAACTGCGATTTAATTTTCCTATTAATCAAATCATAACTGAAGCAAACGAATCCTTAGCCTTTTTTTTGAGGTGTTCAAAAGATTTTAAGAAAACAGCAACCGCTATCTTGCTTTACAACTGTTATGTGAGAAGTAAACCTGAGTACTGTAGCACAGTTTGGTACCCGACTTCAAAGATCCATACAAACCGCATTCAAAGGGTACAAAAAAACTAGTTCACATTTTAACGTACCGTTTTCACGCTCCAAGATCTCTGAAAACGTACTGTGACAAATTAAAACATTTTAATCTCTAAATGCTATCGACACGTCGAGCTCATTATTATTATCTTTATTATTATTTGTTATTTATTATTCTTACACAAGCTTATGAATAATAATATACATTGTCCTCCGTTGTTGAGCAAATTTCAATATAATGTTCCTCGCAAGATACCACGAACATATGTAACCTATTTAATCAAAAACTGTGCAGGACAAATTTGGGTCGTGATTCTCCTGTGGTCCGCATACCCCGTCTTTACAATGAACAAGCAAAAGAAACACCTGATCTAGACATACATTTCAACAGTCTCACAAGCTACAGAACTAAATTAAAAACGTTAACACAACTCTAAAATGATTTGCTTATACACAAAATTGTCAGAACTTACGCTAAGTAAATTTGCTTTTAAAAATAAACCAAATGTTATTAGTTTAATTTGTTTTTTAAGATTTTTTTTTTTTATTATTCATTGCACTTTTTGTTATCCTTCTTATCTTTGTTAAAGCATGATGTGTTTACCTCTAATTGTTAGAACAGTTACGTAGATTCTTAGCATTTTATTTTTAGGTTGTAGATGCTGTATCTTGGTAATCCTATCAATAAATAAATAAATAAATATTATAGTGTAGAGTTAAGAAAATACCACAGTAAATTGCTCAAAATGTATTTATTTAAAAAGGTTATAAATTAATATTGCTCACATAAAGCATGGATGAATGTAGTAAATAATTCCTGTAATTTAAATCATTAATACAGAATAGGATATAGTTAACTTTATGAGAAATGCACGTTTATGAAATTAAATTTTCCCAGAGATGATTAAAAATAATTCTCCGGCCAATTTAGTATCACACAGATAATTAACGTATGTCATTCATAGTTGTGAATGGAACGCGATGGTTGGATAGCCGTAATTGTTAATTACGGACGTATATATTCGATTGATAACTAATATTTATTAATATTCTCATCAGCGAGTGGACGCACTAATAAACTCGCATTTAGTGTATCGATTTCATATGCGATAAGGCGGGATATAGCAACAATCTATTTAAATAAATAAATAGGAATCTACTGTGATTATTGAACCGAACTCCCAACACCTGAGTCCAAAAACGAGGAAACTCTTCCTTACCTAATACAAAACTTTTCCTATTATCCTGAATCTGTACTAGTGCTTGGAATAAACAAAACTTTTCTTAAGCTTCTGTTTCAAAAGATGTACAAATATTTTGCGAGAAATAAAAACCAACCAATTTTATTAAGGTTTTAAATCGGCAAAAAGCAACTTCATTTATATTTTTAACTAGATTATCAGATGTATACATCTAAATATTACCTATTCCACAACATAGGACCTGTTTACATGTTTTCCAGTAAACAAATATTTTGAAACCAATAACGTCCGGTGGTCATGTGCCTATTAACTCTAGAGTCTACGAAGCACACGTCGATTTTAGGTGCAAGAATTATTTAAAGCAGTAAACAACACGACGTCTTGATTTACCGTACTAGCTTCATACTATCTTTTTTAAAGACAGGTTCATTGTGACCAGGTTGCTTACAGTCATAAATCAAATTCATCTATCGAAAGTCATTTTTTAAATCTACCACCGTTTCGTAATGAGATTCGTCTAGATATCATCATCATCATCATTTCAGCCTGTTTGAGTCCACTGCTGAACATAGGCCTCCCCCACAGACTGCCACGAAGTACGATCCTGAGCCACCTGCATCCATCGACTTCCCGCACATTTGCACAGGTCGTCACTCCATCTAGTGGGGGGTCGTCCTACACTGCGATGGCCAGTACGAGGCTGCCACTCGAGAACCTT